TCCATGCAGCAGGATTCCTGATCAGCCTAATGGAAACCTGGGTTATCTTGAGAAAGTGTCTTGTGACCGTCATTGGTTAAGCAGGCTAGTCAATCACTTCCTTTTCGTTCTTGGGGGCCCTTTATTTACATATACACACACATTTTGTAGATACACACCTTTCCTGAATAAACTTTATCTCCCCAGGAAAATGTCCCGAACACCAGAGAAAGAGTAAAGGAAGTCAAGGCAACCTCAGCAGCTGTCCACATCCCTTCCTCTGCCACACTAACTCCACCCGAGGCCCATCTGGACCTGGCTGGAGCTGACATTCAGGGTCACATCCTGCTTACACTTCCTCCCCACCCCAGACTCAGCCAGTTCCTCTTTCTGCTGAAGACAGAAGTTGAAAGAAGGTCAAGTACCCAGGCTGTTGCCACACACAGGACTTGAGAGCAAAGAACAGATGGGTGTTCTTTGCAGGGACAGTCCCCAACGTGTCCTGGGAGTGGCATTAGCTTATAGAACAGTTCCAAGTGAACACATGCTGGATACCAAATGGCACATGCAACCAGTCCTCATGTGCCTCCACCTGAAGGAAAGAGCTCCCCATCTAAAGTGAGGAGGATGCTAAGGAAGGACAGAGACAGGCTCGGCTGGGGGAGAACTGCGTGGGCGATCAAACAGGCCATCTGACCCAAAGCTCAGAGCTCTTTGCAAGAGTCTTGCTGCATGAACCACAATTCCACTCATTCCAGGCCTAACAGTCCTGTCATCCCCTTTTTGCAGATGAAGTCACTTACAAGGCTAGAAGTAGCAAGAGGCCAGGGTGGGGCCTGAAGAGGCCAGCTCCAGTCTGTGCTCTCCCAGCATCCAGATCTGCTCCTGCCCAGGCCTTCTTGGCTCTTCAGCAAGAAGCCCCTTGGATCCTCCCACGGCCTATGAAGCCCCTGTCCAGCCCAAGCGCCACCCTTTACTGGAGTCTGAAGTCCAGGTTTTCTCCTTTTATTCTTCACTCCACACTCACTCTCTGACACCATTTGCCCCAGAATCAACCTCCGAGAAGACCCACATGCCCAGCCTTTTATTCTCCTACACAACACACCAGAACCTGCTTTTTTATGGGGTGGGGAGTGTGGCACCACAGTTTCATCTTGATGTAAATCCCTTGACCCAGGGTACTTTTTGACTTTATGTTTATGTGTGTGCTTTTTGCATGCACTCACTAGACAGAGAGGGAAAGTGAGAAAGCACCCTCCAGGGGGGATATCACAATCATGTCTCCTCTTTCCTCTTGGCAGGTGCGCATGCCCAGAATCCCCAGTGTTTTGTAAGCCATCATGTCCAGGACTTGAACCGTGCATTTGGCAATGTGGGATCCAGCTACCTTAACCACCATGCCACAGGCTGCACCTCCTTTTTTTTTTTAAACTTGAGGACATATGTAAACACCCCCCATGGGGATGGTCACAACACAATCTGTTGACCATTTCTCCCTCCTTTTCAGGATTTTGGGCACCTATGCACATGCACCTGGCATGTTTTTCAAGCTTCCAGGTCCAGGAATCAAACACCATGTGGGATCCAGCCATGTTAACCACCACACCACCAGCTGGCCCCAGAGATTAAGATGAAGATCCCTAGATCTGGGATAAGACCCAAACCTCTGCACTTCCGGCAGATTCCTAGGTGATGCCAACAGTCCTCAGATTACAAAGAGTGTCAAGGACCTTCCTATTCTTAGACCCAGAGACACGTGAAGTTTTGCCTAAACATACCTTAGACATCTGCCCCTATATCCAAGTCAACGATGTAGAGTCCCTCCCCTTAACCAGAGCCCAGGCTGGAGATAAGGAAGCATCCCAGGGCCTGGTAGGTAGTGTGGTGGTTAAGGGCACTGGATTTGCACATGGTTGATGGTGGTTCAAGTCCCAGCCCTGGCAGCTTGCTTTCTTTCTCTCTGTCCTTCTCTGGTCAAATTAAAATAAATGAATAAGTAAAAAAGTTTTTTAAAAATTCTTAAAAAAAAAGGGGGGGGGGACCAGCAATTAGCATAATGACTATGTCACTGGATTCCCATGTAGTCGATCACGGTTTGCATCCCAGACCCGGTAGCTTAAACTCACGCCGGGTGCGTGTGCGTGTGCCCAAGATCCCAAGAGGAGAATGGAAGAGAAGGGATTGCAGCATGGCCACCCCCCCCCCCCGGGGGGGGTGATTATGATTTCTCTGTCTCTGTCTCTCTGGCGAGTGCACATACCCTATAGCAAAAAACTCTCAAACAAGCAAAAAAAAAAAAAAAAAAGGAAGCATCCTAATTCTGCATTTATTTGTCTTTGTTTTATACCCAAAGACCCTGCTCAGGAGGGACCAGCCCCATTTTGCCCACAAGGCCCTTCAGATTCATGGCAGGTACTAGCAAAGTTGGGACTCTACAGCAGAGGTCACCTTCACCAATGGGAATGGTCTGGGACAAGACTGGAGCCAGGGAAGGGCCACGCCCACTGTGGCGGGGTTTCACACCCCTCAGCAGAGGGAGCACAGGGAGCAGGACCACCACTCCCTTTTCAGGTACGCTTATGGAGTGGGACTAGGACCTGGAGCAGAGGCAACCAATTTGAGCAGAATGATGGAAAGGCGGAGGAGGCTGCGAACCAGCTCACCTGAGTGACAGTATGGCCAGCACACGTCTGGCCTTCCTGAGGGCTCTGTCCACCTTAGAGTCAGGGACTTGACTTTGCCAGGATCATATCCCAAACAAGCCTCCCTAGTAGCAGCTCCAGGCCTGAGGTGATTGCCAAGGTAAGGCAGGACACAGCTAGGATTGTAACTGAGCCATAAAAGTCAAAATGACCACCTTGTAGTTAGTCTGAGTCCACCTTAATTGATTAAACCTTGAGTACACCTTAACTTCTACCCTTTAACTTCATAGTGAGTCTTATAGGACCTAACCTTCTACCTCCCTCACAATAGAGATCAAGCCTAATGCTCAGCTGGTGAAAGTTAATAACCTTGCTGAGTCTTCACAGATGCCAGGCTATGGAGGCAGGGATGGGAAAGGCTCCACCAGCCTCCTCCCATACAACCTGCCAAGAAGATTTTTATCAGTTCAAGCATTGCTACACCACACCTAGATCCTCACTCAAGCAAAGTCTGAGTTGTCTTAATGGACTCCATTTTGCTTCTGCTGCCTTGCTAGTTACTGCTTGACCTTGAGCTTCTTGCAGAACACTAAAACTGGTCATTCTGTCCTGTATGCCCAGAACTAAAACTGCCCTCAAGCGGTGACTACTCCTCTGATGCTATCTGTTCTCCATGTGGTCCTGCCTGAAGACAAGGATCAGACCTTCTCGTGACTTCCAAGACAGTGAATAAGAGGACCCTTGCTTCTAGATATATAGAAGGGGTCAGTGAGAGCCTGTAAGTTTCGTGTGTAGCCCTGTTGGGGGAGACTGTTATAGACTGCAGTCTGTTCCCTCCTCCTGTCAGTCTCACTGACTAGATTTCTTTCGTTATTCACCAGCTATTGTCTGTCAAGCAGCAAGTGTCACAGTGTCTGGTCCTCAGAATGAGCTTCCCTACCCATTCTGCATCAGAATCACTACTCTCATGGGGACCCCATCATTACTGGCCTTCAGGGCTCTAGCACCTGGACATTTAACTTTCTGCCTAGTAACCTTAGGCAAGGGGAATTAGATGGGGCCAGGAGGCGTGGTGGTTAAGGCGCTGGAACCCACATGGCCAACCACTGTTCAAGTCCCGGGCCTGGTGGCTTGATTTCCTACTTTCCCTCTCTGTCTCTGGTTAAGTTAAAGTTAAGGAAATGGGAACTAGAAGTCCTCATATCTGTCACCACCCCTGGAATCAGGTATGTGGGATCCAGGGACTTTGCTAGCCTAGAAGTCAGGCTGGGTTTGCCTTTTTCCCCTTTTTCCCCCCATTCCCTTCCTACCTAGGCCTCCTAGAGACAGATTAAAGTTCCCTTGGGAATATGGTCCTTCCTGGGGGGCAGGGCTCAAAGCCAGAAAGCAGCAGGTTTGCCTTCAAACTGGTCTAGCCTTGCCATCATAGTGTGGAGGCACAGGGGGTGGGGAGCGGGCTCACACTTGCGGCACAGTAGTCCTGGCCAGATGTTTGCACCCAGGGCTCCATGTCATGGTCCCCTCCCCATCCCTGAGCAGTCACTGCACCACTACCAAAGGTCACTTCCTTCTTTTATTGAGAAGCAGACACAGGGCGAGAAGTGTGACGTTTCCTGGAGAGACTCAGGACAACCATGGCCAGGGACAGGATGGCTACCATAGCCAGGCCTGAACCCACCACCAGGTAGGTGTGTGCTGAAAATGGTCGCACCTCTGCACTGTGGGCACCAGCCTTTCCCAAGAAGATCAGGGGTCCCACGGTGACATCTGCTTCTTCTGTCACTGTGAAAGGATCAGAACATCTCAGTCCAACAACAATCAGGTCGTAGTTTCTGTTCTGCCTCAGCAGGTTGAACTTGTAGATTTTGTCTGAAAAGCTGCATTATTCTTCCCCAATGCCCTGCACATCTCAGACCCCACGATGACTACAGGAGCTACCCTGGCTGCCACTGGGGTGAGGGCTTAGAGCCCCTCCTATTCAGCCCCAAGACTTCAGCCTAAGAAGACCCCAGGCTGCATTCCTCTTGGGGTAAGTGGCCTTAAGGGCAACAAGGAAGAGAAGTACCCCTGAAGTGGCAGCAGCTGCCCCATACCAGGTGGAGATAACCCTGTGGGGGGAGGCACTGGGGTCCAGCAGGTGATGTGGTTGTGAAGATGTTGGACTCCTACGTGGCCGACTGTGGTTCAAGTCCCAGACCTGGTGGCTTGCTTTCTTGCTCTCTCCCTTCTTTCTCTAGAAAGTGCACATGCCCTATAGCAAGACTAAAATAAGTAAAAAATAATTCTTAAAAAAAAGAACCCTGTGGCCATCCTATGACATACCGTGCCTGCGGTTGCGGGGAGGAGATTTGAGCCACCGGCCCACGACGCTGGGTGACCTCCTGGTAGAGCCTGGAATGCCACAGTCCCCCTTGTTGCAACATTCACAGATGTCAGCAGTGCCTTCTACCGGGGACCAGCTGAGAAGGAAAGACAGCAGCTTAGAGTACTGTCGCCTGCAGGGAGCAGTTTGCTGAGAGTATACTGGGGGGAATAGACAGGGTAGCCAGTTAGGTTCCTACCACTGTCAGAATCAGATTTCCTCACCTAGTGGAAGATTTATTGAACGAACAGGCTTTATTGAGCTGGTCCGGGGCTTGGTCAACTGGAGTGACCTTCAGATGGCAGGTGATATATATCTGGAAGTAATAACAGCTATTACTAGGCCGAGCAGTGACTTTAGTAAGCTAGCTAGCCTGAACTTAACCCTTAGGGAGTGGGGAAGGAAGAGCCCTCTCTCTAAATGATCCAGAGGTTAACTGGCCCCAAGTTGCAGAGCAAGTAGCAAGTCAAACTCAAGACTGAAACCCATCAGCTTGATCCCTTCGGGTTCCCCCAAATTCACCTAGTCACTTAGCATGTGCCACCCTGGGTTGAGTTAGAACCTCAGCGATAGTCTAGGGATTGAGCATTGCTAAACGCCCCACCCACCCCCAGGCAGGCAGTTAGCTGGTTCCTAGGACTACCACCTGCCATTTGACTAGGTGATGAGTCACTTTCATTTCAGTCACTACATAGTGCCCCATTTTTAGCTGAGAAAAGCAGACAAGCCAAGGACTCTAACTCAAGTCCTCGGGCCCATAGAGCACTTCTAGACTAGCTTTAGAGCTCCTGTTTCAGACTTTGGAGCCAGCTTTCTGGCTATTTCATTGGGCAAGCTTCCCTGGGCTTCCCATCTTCCTCAGGCTTATGCCTTCTTCAGTCTGCCTTGTACAGTCATCTGTCCATGATGTGCAGACCAGAGGCAACCCAGCCTACGTGAAATGCCACTTGGCCACCTCGCCCAGCAGGTGCTGAGGAACACAAGCTCCTGCTGGGGCCAAGGACTTTATGTCTGTTGAGTTGTCACCTGCTCTATATTCCTTCTAACCCCAAGGGGGCTGACAGCCCATCTTGTCACCTGGAGTAGGGACCATTTTGACAAAGCTAGGGCTCAGTTTAGCCCTGGTCTATCCCCAGGTCAGAGTTCTACTTAATACCCTAGGTAAGACTTCAGCACCTCCCTGTTTTACTCTGGAAGGGCAGAGAAATTCTGCCAACTTCCATCCGAAGCCCCACACAGAGCTGCAAGCCTTGGCTACCACCTAGTGGCCAAGCACATCGGCAGGAAACCTCTTTAGAACCTTGGAGCCATGGAAGCTCGGGCTGCACTTGAGCAAGCCGGGATGCACTTCCAGCTGCTGATCTTCTATCTGCCCCATAGGAGAAAGGCTTCCAGGAAAGGGAGCAGCTGTTATCATTAGCTTCCTTCCGGTACATTCTTCTGGTGTTCACTGGAGCCTAAGATGCCAGGGCGGTTCCTCTGCAACTCCTAAATAAGGTCATTCCATCTATCCTGAGCCACATCTGCCAAACCATCCCTCCCACCTCTCAGGAAGAGGCCCCCCAGGGCCCAGGCTTTCTTCTATTGACCAGCATTGTCCTCTGGTCCTCTGAGACTCCCTCAGTCCCTGGAGACTGAGACACCAGCCCAGGTTGTGCCCTGCTGATGGCTACCACCTCTGAAACTTAAACCTCCTCTTCCCCACCAGAGGGCCTCAGAAGTCAAGCACAGCCTACACCAATCAGAATCTTCTACGCTAGAATCCACAGCGTCACTGATCTGGGGACGAGGACCCTTTCTCCAAGTCTGTTCCACCTTTATCCTCAGGACCTCACTTGGCCTGCCATTGGGTGCTCTTGGCCGTCTCATCAATATCAGATTCCAGCCCCACCTGCAATCTACGACTCTATCAAACGACTTCTCACAGGGCTGCTGGAGAAGGCGAGGTATTATCACTGTAGGTCTACAGATTCCCGTGTGTCCCTTTGTGCTCCCAGCCACGCGAGCTCCGGCTTCAGCGGCCTGCAAATTGGTGCTTATAAGAGTCATCTGGGAGCTTGAATGAGTTTAGCTGCATCTCCAAGTAGAACAGGAGAGAACAGTGGGTAGGTGATAATGTGATAAAATGCTAATGATAAAGCCTAGGTAAGTAGGTACATATTTGCTGTCAAATGTTTAACCTCCTGTGTTTAAATTTCATGATATTGGGAAGAGGGGATACCAGGCCCTACCCTAATTAAGTAAAAAACTATCGGTTCACATAGAAGCATTACTATCCGATTTTTCCAGGTGGTTAGTGTAGAGCTAAAGTTGAAAATCCCTGTTTTAATTACTTCCTCCTGAGCAGTTATCCTAAGCTTCACCGATGCCCACTCCTATCTCAAGAAACTTGTTTACAAGTGACTTGATTTTTACTTGTAGGTCTACCAGCACTTGTTAGCTAGGGGCCAGTCCTTCTATAACCCCATTCCTCCCTTAGTCAGCCATCAGGAGCAACTTACATCTTTACTCCTCCCTCTTCATTCCTTTAGTTTCAACTTGGACTTGCTAGCTTAGCTGTTGCCAAGGTGGGGGTCCTTGCATGGGCATCAGCAACACCTGGAAACTTCAGTAATGCAAGTTCTAAGCTCTGCACTAGATCTGCTAAGTCAAACCTAGGGCAGGGGGTAGGATAGAAGTCTGTTTCCACAGCTCTTCTGGGGATGCTGGCCTCCAGAATCAGTCTAGCCTATGGTCAAGTTCAAGAGGCTCCCCCACACAGGAAGCTCCTATCTGCTTACTTTGTTCCTGGAGAGTCCCCAGGAGGGCAGTCACCTACCACCTACTCTTTGCCAGCTCCATCACCCAACACATCATCTGAGGTCAGGCCTTGCCGACTTCGGCAGGACCAACATTTGTTGGTCTCACTTGAGATGTCCACTAGATCTCCTAAGTTTTTCTGTTTAGGACCCCTGACTCCCCCTGATCCTGCACTGGCCTTTCACCTACCTTGAAGAGGTTTCTGTCACTTATGCCTTCTCCTAGAAGACCTCAGGGGAGCCCATGGCTTTATCTACGTGGTGATAGGAGTTTCCAGCACAGGAGCAGAGTGAGTGACAGCGACAGGATAAGAACAGCCCCCCTTCCACGCACGCGCACGCTCACGCGCACACACACACACACCCATCAGCTTGGTCTAGAATTCAGCCCAACTCTAGCTCATTAAAAGAGGAACAAAGCTGTTACCATGTTTCTGGAATCATTAGCGAAGTGGAACACATCAACCGTGAACTGGAGGGCATCCGGCCTGGGCCTGGGGGCTTTGAATGCAGAAGCAGCATCGGAGAGGCCATCCACAAGACAGCTTGGAAGCGAAGCAGTGAAGAACGGTGTTAAAGGCTGGGTAAGGCTTCTGCAGGCCAAGTGATGCAATTCCCTGGATGGGAGCCCCGCCCTTACCCATGGAAGTCCACGATGGTGTGGGAAGGGGCGGTGTTCTGGTCTGGCGTCAGTGTGGCCACACAGTGGTCCACGAACAGTAGCAGTGGCGGGTGACTGCCAGTATGAACCTCGGCCTGGAGATGGGCTGTGTCTCCCAGGTAAAAGGTTGGGGTCCTCTTCTCAGTGCCCCAGTCCTCTGGACGACAGAGCCAAGGGTCAGAACCTGCCGAGAGCTCCCTTCCCCACCCCTCCTCACTTACCTTCCATCAGACGCAGGGAGAAAGCCAGCTTCTCCTCAGAGAACACTGTGGTCCTGAAGGGCTCCCAGGTGGGCAGGATCGCCTGGCTGCTCACGTTGCCCTGCCTGGGAGGAGAATGGCAGCTGCCCACCCTGCCCTGGGGCACGGCCCTCCTGCCCTCAACCTGCCGAGAGCTCCCTTCCCCACCCCTCCTCACTTACCTTCCATCAGACGCAGGGAGAAAGCCAGCTTCTCCTCAGAGAACACTGTGGTCCTGAAGGGCTCCCAGGTGGGCAGGATCGCCTGGCTGCTCACGTTGCCCTGCCTGGGAGGAGAATGGCAGCTGCCCACCCTGCCCTGGGGCACGGCCCTCCTGCCCTCACGTTGCTGGGGGGGCGGTCAGCACCATCCACAGTTCCTGCCCCTGACATGTTTCAGCAGGCTGCATTTCCACACAGGGCTGAGGGCAACAGCATCCCCAGCCACTAGCACTTTGACCTTTTCACAGCCTGTAAAGCTGCTGCCCTCGGGCTGGCCCACCTGCCCCCGCAGCCTCATTCGTGGGCCTTTGCACCTGACCAATGCCCTGTCCTTCTCTCACCTGGGATAGCGGCACTCGATGGGTACCTCAGCACGGTTCGTCCTCAGGATGGACAGGTTCCCCGCGGGGCGGGGCTTGTGAAGCAGGAAGGTGCTATATACCAGGGCGTCATCAGTCACCTGAG